AGATTCATAAGGTCGACCTAACTATTAACAAACTAACGAGAAACACGTAATCAAGGACACATGATACATAGTTGTATAGAGAAGACTATGAGAGGTCGATTGCATGACAATTTAGGGCGACCACATGAGAATTTAGTTCGACTACATGATGTAGTTAAGCACTAACGATCTTCGGCCGATACTCAAAACATACCTTATCAAATAAGTTCGAACACTTAGGTATAAGGTCGACCGGAGTAAGACCCAGAGTACACCAACACACGATCACAATAAGGACGCTTATAATACAACTTCACACCAACAAATTGCATAAATCGGATTATGATGAAAGTCTTAAGACTTCATCAATTTATAGAGGATATACCCGAAGTCCTTATCCTTACTAGTAAGGGGAACACATATCGTAAATATTCAAGGATACACAAAATCCTAATTCGAAAAGGAAAAGTACACAAAATTCGTGCACATATAGGTCGACCTGTTTATGGTCATGGTCGACCGTGTCTGCTCTCTAAAATTGTCATAGGTCGACAGTAATGAGACGACGTCGACCTGTTCTCTGCCTACGAGGTCGACCTTGTTGTTTCCCTATTGATCTCTTTGAGTAAATGATTCATACTCTAAATTCCTCGAAATCCATTATTATATAACTAATCACATAAACGAAAACATTCAATATCTAAAAGAAAACAACCTCGCAAATCAAAATTTAACAAATTGTCTAAAAAATGTAACATCGTAACTGAATGATATCATTTCGTTGCTCTTTAGTTTGAATTCTTTCTCTCATTGCCTCATTCCACACATTCATCTACTACATGCTTGAAAAGATTTTTAGGTTCACGGTTTCCAAAATGTGTAGCCATATACCATAGAATCTCCTTTTGAACCGGTAATTTGTGTTCTTCTCCTATCTGCAATATGGCACATAACACTTCGTTAGAAATAAAAAGAAAAACAAAATTAAGCAAGTTTTTTGTTGACGATATACTAACCACTCTATCCAGATCTTTGGATCCATGGCGCATCCACTGCATCACGTGCACACCACACTCGGTACCGTTCTTTTGCCCATAAATGCGTAGCTCTTCGCTATTGAAATCTCCAAAATTTGGTACTGCTACAATGCTCATGCGCTCCGTGTTACGCCCCGCTCTTTCCAAAAGTCAAAATGACTAACATATCCTTGGGTCAAGTTCCACCGGATTACCGACGGGGATTAAAAATGTGAACCATCGGTGCAAGCGGTGTCGAATTTCGACATAAAATGAGAAAGTTACGAACATTAATCGAGTTTCGGATTAAACTCACCCGCAAGTGTGAAATTCCCAAAATAACCCCGAAGAAATTAAACCTAACCTAACCCTACTTCTCAATCGGACTCACCTAGAACCTATATTTATTAAACCTAAAACTAAACCCGGGGGGAGACCTTTTAGCCGGCCATTTTTTCCTTTTTGCACCGCGAACACGAGACGAGGGTTCACGGAAGATGGGGCGGATCCGGAGAACCCTCGATCAAAGCCCTGGTTTCCATTTTGAAACTTAATCTCCGCGGTCAGCAGCAGAGCAATCAGCCCTGGCGGCGCCGTTGGAAAGGGTATCGGGACACCATGGGAGCAAAGTTTTTCGTCAGTGATAGGGAGGGAATCTTCGTGGAGGCGGCTTGGGGAAGCAGACAGGAGGTTGGGTTACTCGCTGTCGGCAAATCTACCAAGCAAGCAGGAGGCAGATGAGAGATTAAATCTCTCATAGCAAGCTGGTCCATTATAAAGAAGCAAGCAGCTCTATTATTGGGAAGTAATCTCGCATAGCAAGCTGGTCAAAAAATAAACCCATACCAATAGATTGAGGAGGAGAGGAGGCATGGTCATTTACATATGACGATGAAGAAATCCTTGTAGATAAACTACGTTATCAAGAGAAGAGGGTACATAACCCTGGGAAGTTAGGCCGATGAAAACACTTTAGAATGAACAAGACAAGCAACGAGATAAATGATGTAGATGGCAAGTTATGTTCTAAGTACGACCACCATTGGATGAGACGTGGAGGAAAGTGCCACCAAAGTCTAAAGCATGCCTGGTAGAAGAAACCACTTCTCAGAAGTGCGTGAGTTGGACACCAAGATAACACCGGGTTAGAAGGAGGATAGTAGAGACCCTACAAACTACCCAGATCAAAAAGGTCAGGAGGAGGTTCGGACAGTTGGAAGGGGTATACAAGAGTTCACGATGATCTGTTATGGGATTGTCCTCTCTTAAATAGAGGGAACCCCTAGCCTCCTAGGGTACATGAGGGGTGGCAGAAGGAGGAACCTCTCTACTAAGTTGGAACAAGAGGGCTAAGAGCTGAGGTCTCGGAGCTAGCTATAGAGTAAGTCATTAAGCCAACCGAGTATAGACAAGTAAGTGGAATGTGCGATAAATGTTCTAGTGAATGGCAGAGAATTCGAGGAAACACATGGAAGTTCCGATGAAAGATTGAGAATATGTGTAGGTGACTCGTGTTCAAGGAAATGCATAGTGGAGTACGACGAGGGAAAGCATTACCAAGAAGGAGGAAAAAGAGAAGTTACCTTATCCAAGGTGCCCCACTCTGGGTGGGCGCGGCATGGTAGGAGGGCTCCAGAGGAGACAACTAGTTAAGGATGAAGCAGACACGCTTAGTTAAGCCACAAAGAATCCTAACTAAGAGACTAAGTTTATGTACAAGATCGATCAACAAAAGAGGCATGGAATGAGTCATGTTAAAGGTTACCAAGGGCAAGCCACCATTGGAAGTTGTGACCTAAAGCAACAACGAGAGGATACTCAATAGAGGTTGGTGACCAAATATAGTACAAGCAACAACAGAAGAGTTGTAGTTTGGTGGTAGTAAAAGTAAAGAAGCAAGAAGAACACCGTGGGAAGTTATAAAAAAAATGGTTGGCATCAACCTGGCGATGTATGCGTCAAGGAAGATAGTTAAGACGGGCGGAAGCAGGAGTACAATAGACAACAAGATAGCATTAGGTTGAATACCAGTGGAGAACAAGTGATCCATAGGAACTCCATCAAGAAATTTTAGTCGATTTTAAGGTGGAATCAAGGTCGTCAAGAATGGTCGAAGGGAAAACCTTATAGGCGAAAGTACATAAGTGAGAAGAGGATATAGGAGCCTAGAGGACTACATCGAGAACAAGGGACACCTAAACCTAGAAAGGAACATAAAGAATAAGAGTCACGAGTAAAGAAGTAAGAGGGATATGAGTTTAGGGAACCTGCTAGAATACCCCAAAGTGAAACCAAGATCGCCTATGTTGGTGAAAGGTGTCAATCTCTTGGGTAAGACTCTACTGGACGGGAAAACCGTATGATGAATTTCCGCTAGGATCTAAGAGTAGCATAATGGATAGTACGATAGTTTCAGATTCAGGCGGCGATAAAGAAGTGTTAAGTTAGGAGCCAGGAGTGAACCAGTACGCCAAATGGAAAATCATGACTCTTGAAGGAAGTCATAAAGTTGTTAGCAAGCTAGAGAAAGATGCAAAAGATGCATTTAATGCTTACAGGAAGTAAAAGCAGTAGTGTTAGGTTTCAGGGTGAAGCAAGAAGTAATGAGGATATGCCCATTCAGTTGATGGCTAAAGGGAGAGACAAAGCATCTTGTAAGGAAGTAAGAGATTTAAAGTTAGAAGGTACAAGGACCTAGGTGACCTACATGGTCAACCACGATCGAGGTTACGTTATAAGAGTTTTGTGATCTAACTAGAAGGAGGTTAAGCCGCCATCAGTAACCTTAGGATTAAAAAGGGGTATTACGGATATCAATAGGGATATGTAGGGGTTGGCCCATGCTGAAGGCACCATATATGGTGAATCCAGCATCAAGTTGTGCATCAAGGGGAGCTATCAAACAGGGGAATAATGAGGTCTACAGAGGGGGAAGGAGCAATACCCAGGGAGCGACCTATGAATAAGCCATTAACCAAGTCAAGCATCTGCTACGGAGTTTGATGTTAGAGAATTCGAGTTGAGATGTCAGCAGTCAAGATATGGAAAGCGTAGTAGTTCAAGGTCTGAGCACCTTATGGAATGAAGTCACGACGGGTCATATCCTGAATAGCTTGAGCAAGATATTTATGAGAAATGGGTGAGTTATAAGTCGACCAAGTACCACACGAATTAGAGGCAAGGGTTTATAGTTCCAAGTTGTACAAGGTATAAGTCCTTGTAGCACAAGGATTGCCTCAAGCAAGACCTTAGGTTCTCATCAATGAACAAATTTCGAGGTCGACATTTTCTTAAGGGGGGAGGAAATGTGATACCTCGACTTGGATTTAGGGTCCAACGATAAGTACTAGATGATTTGGGGCAATAAACTGACTCGAAATTTTGTCCCATCACGCCTTGGACCGAGCGAGGGAATTAAAAAGGGCAAGTAGGCACTCAAAGCTACTCGATGCTAACGAGCTTGTTGAGAATACCTCTCCTATGCCCAGAAGGAAATATAAAATGTCTGGTAAACTATACGGGAAAAGCAATGAACATCATCGATGTTCGTATAGCAGGAGTAAATTCTCGAAGCAAAGAAGACCAGGAATGAGGATTATGTGAGAATTAGTCCGAGCAAATTTCGAAGACGAAATTTTTATAAGGGTGGAGGAAATGTTACCCCCGCTCTTTCCAAAAGTCAAAATGACTAACATATCCTTGGGTCAAGTTCCAACGGATTACCGATGAGGATTAAAACTGTGAACTATCGGTTCAAGCGGTGTCGAATTTCGACATAAAATGAGAAAGTTACGAACATTAATCGAGTTTCGGATTAAACTCACCCGCAAGTGTGAAATTCCCAAAATAACCCCGAAGAAATTAAACCTAACCTAACCCTACTTCTCAATCAGACTCACCTAGAACCTATATTTATTAAACCTAAAACTAAACCCGGGGGGAGACCTTTTAGCCGGCCATTTTTTCCTTTTTGCACCGCGAACACGAGACGAGGGTTCACGGAAGATGGGGGGATCCGGAGAACCCTCGATCAAAGCCCTGGTTTCCCTTTTGCAACTTAATCTCCGCGGTCAGCAGCAGAGCAATCAGCCCTGGCGGCGCCGTTGGAAAGGGTATCGGGACACCATGGGAGCAAAGTTTTTCGTCAGTGATAGGGAGGGAATCTTCGTGGAGGCGGCTTGGGGAAGCAGTAGGAGGTTGGGTTACTCGCTGTCGGCAAATCTACCAAGCAAGCAGGAGGCGGATGAGAGATTAAAGCTCTCATAGCAAGCTGGTCCATTATAAAGAAGCAAGCAGCTCTATTATTGGGAAGTAATCTCGCATAGCAAGCTGGTCAAAAAATAAACCCATACCAACCTCTCTTAAGCAAGCTGGTCATCAAAAATAAACCCATACCAACGGGTGGAAAGAGCAGCTTGCTTAAGCAAGCTGGTCCAAAATAAAGAAGCAAGCAGCTCCATTATTGTGCCAAGCAAGCTGCTCCTTCCAATTGTGCCAAGTACGAGTGTAATGAGTTAGAAGCGAGTGGAACAAAATCAGAGCTAGTTACGAACGGAGGGAAGGTGAGTGTAAAGGGGGTAAATTCTACGCCTTACGGTTTTTCAAGTATTTGCTTTGAGTATTTTTAAGTATTGATTTACGTGATGTGCGTGTCGTATTTGATTCATGTTTGATATTACATGATTGTGTTTGATGATTTGTGCGATGGTTGAGCTATGATTTGAAGTGAATCGTGGATGAGTTTATTTCTTACTAGAAGCTTGATGTCTATGAGTTAGTGTTAAAGTTTAAGAGCAAGTACTTTTTAAGAAGTAACTCACCGTCAAGAAGGTGAAGTCGTTTTAAGTGTTTTTAGTCACTAGCGCCAGTCCGTTGCCATTTGAGATTTTCAGATAGAGTAGCAGTTATGCTCTTGAGATCTTTGAGATAGAGCATCAGTTATGCTCTTGAGACTTTTAAGATGGGCAGCAGTTATGCCCTTGACAATCGTGGTGAAGAGCCACCACGATAAGTGGCTTCTCATACGTATGAGTTGGCAACCGGACTAGCTAGTGAGGGATCCCCGTGTCAGTCAAGTTTCTAAGTCAAGATTTGAGCTTTAAGAGAGGAGAGTAACTACAACTCCCTCAAAGTTTAAGAGTTAAGATTTTAAGATTGGAAGTACAACCAACTTCCCTCAGTTTGAGTTTAAGTGTTTGAGAAGAAGTGCAAAATTATTAGAAAGTTTAAAACGTAAGGGCGTAGACTGACCCCATCTCACTCACCAGTTTGAGGAACTAGAGGAGCAGTTAGTGAGCAGCGAGTTTGAGGGCAGCCAGCTAGAGGAGAGCAGTATAAGCGTCACGGAGGATGCTTAGTCAAGGTTTTCAGTAGCAACAACTTCAGAGATTATTAGTTATTGACATTTATGATTATGAGTATAGACTGGAGATTATTTTGAGATCAGATTGAGATTTTAAAGTTGAGTTTAATTTGCCCACGTGTTAGGGCTTTGCCTTGAACTACAAGTGTGTTTTTTTAGTATTTTATTTATTAAAATTTTTCCCAGTTGCAATTTAAGATTTGAGTATTTTATTTATCAAGGGCATTTTAGTAAAAGTAGTACCCAGCCGGGTTAGGGTGTTACACTCCGGTTTGAAAATATCATGCAGTTTGGACAACTACACACAAACAACAAATATTATATGCTTCTAGCAGTGTACGAGACACTTAGTAGTCATAAAATTATAGGAAGCACTTACCATTTTCTTGCAGTGGTTTGATTTACGCTAACGACCCGCCTCATTAGTTGCTGGTAGACTGTCAAGCAAAAATGCGGTTTTTTGCTAGACATTGACGAGATACAGAAACCAATGACGTGCGTCATCGTCCAGAACTGGCATAAATATCAAGCAAAGAAAAATTATGTTATAAAATGAGAATACAAACAAATGTATTTTGAAAGCTTAATGAGATAGGGACATTGACTAACCTTCTGGCATGCACTAATATTCGGCATAAACACCACGCAATCATCCAGCAAGTTGTTTCAAAAAAATTCGGTCTTCATGTTACTGCGTACCATTTTCTGCATCATATTTTTAATCAGAATAATTGACATGGTACAATATTAATAACTAGGTTATGACAAATAAATACAAATTACGGCTCTTACTGAAAAATATTTGGCAAATACCACACATTTGCCTCTTTATTCTCATTTTTTTCAGACAATGCTAGTGCCCTTGCACCCAAATCCACGACCTACAAACCAACAATCAACCACAAAATCCTCGTAAATCATAACAGAAATTGTACGCAATTTATAACAAAGTCGTAGCAGTGTAGTACTTAAGGATGAGCAAATCCAGCTACAATCGCTAATGACCGAACTCAAATATTGTCGTTGCAAGTTTTCGTCAACAAAGTCAATAACGACCAAACTGCAAAAACAAAATAACAAAAATGTAAAATTGTGATTTGAATAGTATCGATCTATCTATTGACAGACAAGGTCGACCTGATTATTCAAACGGTCGACCACATATATTATTTCAAAAAAATACTTCTCTTACTTCTTCCATTTTGTATCTCCATCATTCTCTTTAGTAACAACATAAAATAAGTCTTCAACTGGATTTTGCAGATTTTTATAAATCCTTCTAGACCCTCCACTTTCATGACCTACAACTCAGAGTTCAAATTAAACTTACATATGAAAACAAGCACACACTTTCATATGTAACATAAACTTACTTCGTGCTTTTCAAAAGGACTCTTAGATTCATTTTCGTCGCTATCAGCACTAAATAATCATTTTCTAACTAAATGATCCTTCTGTGGAGTGGTGTATGAGTCATTTTCATATCGAGGTTTCTTGTACTTAGGAGAACCTGCTCCCATTTCGAGTCATCGAGTCAAGAGATAGATAAATAGACACAAGACAGATAAATAGACACATCCCATTGCACGGATCGGGGGCCTTTGTAGTGACTGAAGGGGTCGAAGACCAAGAAGTGAGTAATTTATCAGCCAAGCATTCTTCTTATGGCTAGATCCAATCTCCTGGTCGGAATCATTGCTACCAAACGTTGTTTCACTAATGATAATAATACTAATATCTTCACTCACATATGAATATAATTTCACCTTAAGCTTGTGGTCTTTCAATATATCGTCTATGCTCTGGTAGCAATTTGCAGAGTCATCATGATCTTCCTACTCTTCATCAAAGTTAAATTTCTTTATGGTACCATCTCTTCCTCCCTTCTCCATTCGTTATGCACGTTTTCTCTGATAGCACCTTGTAGCCTCTCAAAACTATCATGCATCATCCCAGTCATATCTGTCAATCGAACTAACAACTGCTCCACTGTATCACGCATGGACTTTTGATAGTCATTGAATTCTTTTCGACACACCACTATCTGATCTTGTGTGGCTTTCAACACTTTCATAATTTCACCCTCATCGTGTTGTTGCTTCTCATCATGCGCCATCGTCTAATCAATTTCAAGAAAAATTAAAATCAAAATTCAACTTCAAATTTGTACAAATGACCAAGAACAGAGAAGTGGTCGACTTGAAATATTATTAGGTCGACTTGAAAGACATAAGTTGTTACTACCATAACTAATTAGGTCGACCTATGGTCTTCCTAGGTTGACCTAACCAACGGAATAATACCAATTTATGAACAAAAACATGTGTAATACTACCACAAACAATGGAGAGGTCGACCAAACACATTGATAGGACGACCTTTTAAGCACAATAGAGTCTTACGAACAAAGCTAGAAGTCATAAGTTCAAGTTCTTGCAATTTTCAAACAGAGTCCGACCTGATTGAAAGAAGGTCGACTGAATGTTCTTGTGCACGCAAAGAAAACATCAAATTAAACGGAGCAAATTACGAAATAGAAAAGACGACGACGATAGCTAAATTCGGTCGACCTCACCTTTCAATTGGCCGACCTCTTGAAGCACGTACATGAGCAACCACAAAGGATCTTATTCTTCGCTTAAAATCTTACACTACAAGATGAAACCAAAGCAAATCAAACTTCAAATTGAACGAAGGAAATAAAAGAAAGAGTAAGGAAAACATCGTTACCTATGACTTGTATTTGGTAGACCTAAACTTGTATTTGGTAGATCGTCTCTGTTCCGAACAGGAAGAACAACAACAAACTTCTTCTTCACCAAAACTCTAACCATACAAAAAACCGAATTCAGAGTTTCAGTGACGTTGAAGGTGACATATAGTTGTATTTATTGATATTTAGGACGAGATTCGGGCGAATTAAGTGGTAAACAAGTTAGGGTTACCTTTTTGTGTTGAAATCCTTATCCAATATGGATATGGTGTGCAAGCGGTAGACCATTTCTACTATTTCCTAATTAATTTCGACTCTGATGTTGATCAGGTAATGAAACAGAGGTCGACCTTTTCATTTATGAGGTCGACCTTTTGATAGCAAAATGGTCGGCCTTTGAGATAATGGGGTCGAACTTTTATAATATTCGCTTGCTAAAGAGGTTGACCATTTGCTCTAAACGGTCAACTATGTCATTGAGCTCACAAAACTGAAACACCATATTAGGTCGACCGACGTTAGCAATTGGTCGACCGAATAGTACAAGTTATGATTAGGAATTTAGATTTTTAACCAAACAATAGACCAAGGCTCTTCCGGTAGTAAAAATTAGGCTTTATATGTTTAAATTTTGTAATTTTTGTTGAATGATAAATAGCATAATTATTTGACTCACACGAAACTACACCGCGAACTAATCCCAACTAGAGCCCAAGTTTTTAAACTCTAGCCGGGTGCAGTATAGGGCAAGTATTTAATTATCAAACCCGGGCTGGTCCATGTACCCCTACTTCAATCGCTTAACTTTTTATCTAGCAAAACGGTTTTGGGTTTAAAACTATGAAAACTACAAACTAAACAAGCAAGGAAAGTAAATGGAGGAAAATTCTACTCGAGAGGACTTCACCCTGGTATTGCTCCCCGTAGTCTCATGCTAAGAAGCAACAAACAAATCCCTAGTGTGAAGGACGTGTCCATACACCCCGAGGTGGGTGCAACTAGCTAGGGACAAACTACCTTAGTCGATCAATGAAGGAAAATCAACAAATATAAGCTAGGAGAACTAGCTCTCTTAATCGTTAGGTTAAGGATTGTGATTCATAGCTAGGGAACCTAGACCTCTTCACCGATCAACTAAGGATATCCCTAACTCTCTTAGTTACCAATTGAGAATCGTTGCAACAAGTTAGA